TTACTATAAATTTACTTACCGGTGCTTGTACGAAACACCGACAACAGTACCAAGTTCAGAGTGCGAAATTTAAACAGCGGAATACAATAAACATATAATGGTAGAATACAAGGATCCGTCTGTGTCCACTAGAAGAATCCTCCACACAACAGCTACTATTCAAGCTGCACCTGCAACATGGTAAATAAACCCTGAGTACATAATGTACTCGCAAGACTTACCCGACTAGTGGGAATAACTTCCCGACTCCAAAGGATATGATAAGCTTTTTGGGTTGCTGGGTTTCCTTTTTGCGGAAAGCAATACTAGTCGTAAATCCTTACGTATGTTTCTTATTAGTAGTCATGATTAGTTCATTATCTAACCATGCTATGTAAGCACATGTTCTACCTTCAAGCAAGAGTTTACAAACAAATCCATTTCACCACCTTTCATCTTCCAGTTCTTACTACGGTGCTAGATTGTAGACAAGTCATACCAGATTACCCAGCGATTCGTGAATCAATGTGCCCAGCTGGGTACCCCAAAACACACGGCCCGCTTGTACCCCAGGCACAAGTAGGACCAACCCACCACTCTCCTGTCAAGGGGTCTAGGTCCCCGTCCAAACTTAGACTCCAAGCCCCCACACCTGAGTCCCGGACTCAGTATGGTGCTTAGACCTCCACCATCCCCGCCTCCAATCAGTCGATCCAGAAAAGAGCTAGAACCCACGACAAGAGAGCAACGAGCCTTCCCTGATCCTATAAACAAGTATGTGCTCAGGATAATAAGTCTGTGACCTAACTAGAATCCAATGCAACAGCCGGTCCTTAACCGACACGGACAGGGAAAACAGTGTAACCAAGTTATGCCTTGTTGGCCACGGGACACAACCCCTTACACCCACCAATACCTATACCGTATCCTTGCCCGGACTCTATTTTCTTTCACATTTTATCATGAGGGTAATAATAGTAATCACCTATTGTGAGTAACGGCAGGTTACTCATACTACCGAAAAACCTAAGCATAGCAACTACTCGACCTATGCTAGTAGGACTCATAGGTAGGTTTATCTATGCATATAGTTTCAACAATAAGCCTGTAACGTAAATACACATCACATTTATATATCCAGTGATTATTCAAAATAAGGGTTATGCACCGGGGCTTGCGTTGGGCAGGCACGGCGTCAGCTCAGTCAGTCCGTGGCGGCTCTAGGACCTCCTCTTGCACGAGGTTCTCCTCCTCATACTCTTCAATCATCTCCTCGTACTCCTGCTCGCCCTCGGTCACAAACTCCACCAACTCGTTCTCTACATGCATGCAATGACGATGCAACACCCAATATTAAGGCAACAGTAGTTCTTAAAATAAGAATACATCTACTAAGCCACTAAGCTAGCTCTAATGACTAAGATACCGAGCTAATCATCATTCCCATCAAACCAGCAGGGTTTCACCTACAAGTGATACTTAGCAACTAAAATATATTCTTACTCTTATTAACGATTTTCTGTATACTACAACAAGGAGTACTTAGCTACCATATTTCTCAACCTATTCTAAGGCTACAAAAATTACAGTGAGCACATAATAATACAATGAATCTATTGTAGAAATTTCATGGTCAAAGCTATTACCAATTTGCCACAAAAATTCCTATAAATACTAATCTAAATAATACTAAACACTCACAAATGATTTAATAGCCGCTGGTATCAATAAATATATATATGAACTAAATACACTAAAGATAGAGCACAATTTTTGGAACCTAACAAAATTGGTTTCATAATTTTTGGATATCTACATGATTTTATATGATTTACCAAAGTTTAGCTCAGAATTACTAAAGAAAAGCTATTTCTATTTTTCACGAAAAATCTAAACCGATTTCGGCCCACGCGGCGCAACGCGTGCGCGCGAGCGCTCGGCGGCCCACAGGCGAGGCGAGGCCCACGCGCGGAGGCGGCCCACGGCGAGGAGGCCTGCGCGCAGTGGCACATATGCAAAAACGCCCCTAGACTATGAGCAAAACAACCCACAGTCTATGTTACTATTCCTATAGACAACACTTATGCAAGAGAACCCTCGGGCCTTTCTCCTCTTTACAACGATGAGGCCCTCGGCCATCCCCGCTCGCTCCGGCATGACGAGCAGTGGCACAGGCGCCTACTCCGGCCACGCGGGACCCCCACTGACCTAGCTACGAGGCCGACGCTCACCTAGGGTTCGACGCGAGACGATGGGCGGCGGTTGCGCGAGCCGGGACGCCATAGAAGGACCTCTCCACGACGGCGGACACCCTGCGGCAATGGCGACGACATTCAGGTGAGCCATAGCAACAATCAAGGCAGTAGGGCAGCGGGTGAGCAACGACAACTCACCGGTGACCTTACCAAGAAGCCAGCTCGGCCGAAGACAACTTGAGCGAGGCTGGCCGTGTGCGTGCAGTGAGGCGAAAGGTGGACTGCTAAGGCATGACCGCGTCAGCGGCGAGGAGGTGGCACAAAAGCTACGACTAGCGTGCGCACGACGAAGAGGAAGCCAAGGTGATCTAACGGTGCAAAGGAATTGGCGCATGGTAAAGTGGTGGAGACTGGCCACGACGTGGGCGGCGATGAGCCTTAACGGCACGGCGGCGGCAAGATTCCAAAATTGGAGCTTGGCGCGACGCGAGTCAAGGTGGGGCGGGGTCGGATGGAGAGGGGGCGTGAAGGCGGAGACACGAGCACGAAGAAATGATGAGAGGTGCTCGCCCTCTGGCTTCACCGCGACGCGACACGACGATAGTGGAAAGCAGACGGAGGGAGAGACGGGCGCGGTAGTGGGTTTGGCTCATCCACGCCTTGGCGGGACGCGAGCAGCGGGACCAGGAGGCCCACGTGCCGGTGCTAGCCGACGGACGTGCGCGCCCGACCGACGTGGCGCGGCCACAGTGCCATAAATGGCAAAGCGATGGCGCGCACGCATGGCCACGTGCGGACGACACCCAACCGGGCCAGGGAGGGGCAACGCGATGCAGCACGCGTACTGGAGCGACACGACGGCAGCAGCAGTGTCGCGATGCGAGGCAGCAGTGGCGGACACGATGGCAGTGCAGCGCGGGACGGGGCAGGGCAACAATGGCGTGATGGCTTATGGCTGGGAGCTAGCGGCGGGGTAGTAGCGCGGCAGTGAGGTGGGACAGCCGTGTGCCAGGGCTGTCGGCCACAGTGGCCAGCCGAGCGCGGCCAGGCGCGCAGGGGCTGCTGGCGCGTCGACGTCGTGGCTCAAGGGCACGGTGACCGCGCCTCCACGAGGAAACCGACCGAGAACGTGCCATGCACGCTTATTAAAGCGTCCAAAACAACCAATCGGTTGGCCAAACACCCAAACCATCTTTTGCTATACCTTAGATGGTATATTAAGCTACTAAAACAAGCCATAATACTACCATACTCCTTAATCCAATTTCTCTACAAAAATTGCTAAACATAGCAGTGTCTAACTGTTGGCAGACTTGAAAATTTCTAAGTTTTTGAGCTGAATTTGATTTCCATTTACGATTTCTAAGCTAGTGGAAATATTAGCTAGTAATATCATTTTTCAATCGCAAGTATTTTATTGTCATCTTCAAAGTTTGTACTTCAAACTTTATTCAAGTATCACATACATGTTCTATAGCATTTTTGCTTAATAAAAATTGGTTTTAAACCCTAAGTGATATAACATGACTCTGGAATTAACTTTCATTTCGCATTTCCGTTGATCGTTTTGAGTTACGAAAATTGATCTACACACTCTATTACATGCATTAACACATAAACATGATGCCCATGACATGTTTTAGTAAATAATTTACGGTGTAACACCGAGGGTGTTACAAGATACGATAAAATTTTTAAATTTGTTAAGTTTAAAATTGTTTGACTCCTAGGTAAGCAATATTTTCATTCCATTTGGACGGATGAAGTACTTGGTTACCGTTCGTCACCCATCCTTGCACCACCGTTGCGATGGAAGATCTTCAAACGAATCATTAACAAAGAGGGATCAAGTTTGGCGTTGACGAGGAAAACATGTGAACAAAGAAGAAAAAGAAGAAATTTTACCTTACACGGCAACATCGCAGCTCTACGCAAAGGAAAAAAGAAACTTGTTAGACGAATTACAACTTCCCTTAGGAATCCATGTCTGCTTGTCACCAACAAAGCATAAGCGCGTACGTACATTCTTGGCCGCCGGGAAGGTCGTCAAGAAAATCATTTTCTTTTATTATTGGCAAGCGAAATTTCCACTCTCACGGGTGGAATTGATGCAGTATCTCTCCGCTGCATCCTAGGCTCCTTAGTCAAACCGTCCACCGTCCATTTCCCTGTCACGCATTGAATAATGTGATTCCTTAAAAATAAACCACTACGGCGAAACAAACAATGCTGCATTACGTGTGCCATTTAAGCCCGCACGATCATGTACAAACCGAGTTTTTTGAAGGCAATGTACAAACCGAGTTATTAGCAGTTTTTTTTACAAAGCACACTTGCCATCAAAGAAATGGCACACGTAAAGCCGCGCAATGATACTCGTCGTAGGAGGAAGCAACACATGATCTGATGATCAGACGGCCCGACGTTGATGGAGGTCCCAAGGCGACGTCTCTCTCCGGACAGCGATGCCCACTGGCCGTTTGTAGGTAGTTGGACGCACATCTGGCCGTTCCAATCAGGAGCGGCAACGTTGCCGTCAGTGCGCTGCTCCCCGATGGCCGTAACTCCGTTGCCTCTTTGTTTAAGCAACAGCCAATGGCAATAGCAGGCGTTGTACGGCGGTGCGCCGGCACCGGCTTGCTCGGTGGTGCCTGCACGGCGCACGCTGCAGGCCCCCGGGCGCTATAAAATGGGGCAGCCGGTATGGGAGCGAGGAGTCCACGGTATTGAAATCCACCGCACCACTTCAACCTCTCTTCCCTGCTGCTGTGGTGACTTCCTCCGCCCCGCTTGCCTCCGCTCCGCTCCCGAACGGCCGGTCTTTGCATGGCAGCAGCAGCTAGCTCCAAGGGGCGGGCGATCGCTGGAAGCTTCGTCAGCCGCGTCCTGGCCGGCAAGGCCGCCTCCCCGAAGTGAGACACGCGGTTTCGGTTTGCCCTGTGATCCTGTTTTTGTTCACCTGCTAGTGCTATTTTTGAGGATGCTTGTTCTTGTTCAGTTCGTCCAAGATCTTGTGGTAGTTGTAGCAGAGCCATGTGTTTGCTTTGAGTAGGCTCGGACAGTGCTTGCAGAGTTGCAGCTCGCTGCACCTTTTTTCCCCCCTCCGATTTTGGAGGATCTTAGCTTTGTGGAGAACTCTGATTCAGTGGCAAGATTTTGCTCAGCAGAAAATCTACTAGAACTTAGCAACAGTAGAAGGGTTATCATCTTCTGACATGGTGTTCGTAGATATGGCAACCCTCTGCTTTGGGAACATCGACAGCTTTGTTTAGTCCTCTGACCGTAGAACACGATAATAGAGGGGCCGAGGGGGAGCACCTGGAACTGAAAGCCTGGCACAGTGCCACTTCACCTTGAACTTCCATCATTCCTTGTGAAGCTAGAAACCCTGGCGCCTCCTAATCAAGCTAGATCCATCATCCATGTAGTGGTGTCTTCATCAAAAGGTCAATAATCTTACGTTTAACTAGGTTTACAAAAACCTCAACATTTACACGTCAATAGACATAAATATCAGTATATTTTAGTCTGTTTTTCTATATTTATTTATCTGAAATTAAGATAAAAATCGATTGATTCATGAAAAGCTAGATTTACACTCCACCTTCGTTGTTCTTTTCGAGCGCTTTGCACGGAGGAGTGCAGTAGATATTTGTGGTGTGCCGTTCTGCCCACTTCAGACTGTCAAATCTGCAAGACTGTCCGTCAGCCTCTGCGTGCGAGGGAGGAAGGAAAAGCCAAACGCCACGCCACTTCGGCACTCCCAGTGGCCACTGGCAGGGCAGGCGCACCCACACAAACAAGATGAGGCGGAGCAGTGGAGGCACGCAGGACGTACACGTCAAGGCGCGCAGCAAGCGACCCACCCGTTCGACGGATTGCCCCCTCCATCGCTTTCCGAAAAGTTCTCGGGGGCGGATGGGTCTGGTGCGCGGTAGTTGTCGCTCCACCCTCACCAGTGGCCAGTCATCACTCGCATCTACCCGCTGCCCATCTGCCATGGCTCGCTTGGTTTGGTTCTCACTCAAAGTCCCCCCTCCTCCGTATGACGGTGGGACCGGGACCAGAAGCATCCGCCCCACCGGCCGTCCTTTCGCGTCCGGCCCGTACGATTCCCTTTGGCTCCCATCGCGCCGGGCCGACGACCGATCGGGGCCGTCCATCGCTGGGGCCCTGTAACACCTAACACCCCCATCGGACGGTGTCCGATGCGGCGTGGCTCTGTAGTACCGGATGTGGTAGGGTACGCGGTGGAGGTGAGTGGGGATGGAGGTGCCGGCCTCCTGGTGGCCTCGCCTTCGCCTCGCTCTTGTCCGCACTCGTGCGTGTCCTCTTCCCTCCGCTGCAAGCGAGTTTCCCGCGCCCGCCCATGGGCCATGGCCCATGTGCGCGCGCAGCCCTGCCGTGCGTGGAACTCCGATCGTGATGTGTTTGTTACTGCGTCAATTTGTCTGATGCCATGGCGCCGTTGTGTTAGCTGAGGTTTGGGATTTTTGTCTGAACGATGAACCGAACTATCGTCACATGCGTCTTGCTCACCGCTCTCATCTCATCGGGTGACGTGTGTTTCCGTGTGCAGGAGGGCCGTGCACGCCTCGGCGTACGACAAGAACCTGGAGGAGCAGGTGCGCCCGGCGTTCGTGCCGGACGATGTGATCGGCGGCGCCGGGAACCCCGACAAGTACTGGAGCCCCCACCCCAAGACCGGCGTGTTCGGCCCGGCGGCGGTGGACCCCAAGCTGGCCGCTGCTGGCGCGCCCGGACGCCGCCGCGAATGCTGCGGGAGGCACGGTGCTGGACGAGAAGGTGTGGTTCCGCCCGCTCGAGGACGTCGAGAAGCCGCCCCCGGTCGCCTGAGCCGCGCGGCGCTGAGCGAGCCCACTGCTGATAAGGAGAGCCTGGCGCTGATACACCTATCACTCTGCTCAGCTGGGCTTCCTGCTTATCACTACGATATTATACTACTACTAGTAGTGCTTGATAGCAGTGTGGCTGTGCTAATACCAGTATTATCAATATAAGTATATAATACTGGTTCTGTAGTAGTATCAGGACTGGTTGTGATAGTAGCAACATGATGCTCATGCCTGTAATAAGAACAAGCAGGAGATGTGTGCCTGTGCTGCTTGTGGCCGTGATGTACCGGGGTTGTTATCAGTGTTATAAGTACTTGGGTCACTGGTTTGTGCATGTGTTTGTTAAAACGACGCAGTTCATATATGGTCGATAACCACTAATCTATTGAATCTATTTAAAGCCTTTCAAAAGAAGTCACTATGTTCGTTACCTAAGAGGATAACGCCCTGTTTCGTTTGGGCTGATTTGGCTTATAAGTCATGACTGAAAGTACTGTTGACTGGTTTGTTGTGAGAGAAAAATATTATTAATAGGCTGCAAGATGTTGCTGAGATTAATAAAATAACAAGATTTTATGATGACCCAACGACTTAGATTAAACCAAATATCCAGGCCTGAATGAATATGAAAAAATCACTATAGAACCACTGAGATCCCCACACCGTGTTTTGGAATGACCCATAAAGAATCATTATTGAATCACTTTAGATCCCCACACCGTGTTTTCCCCTTCATGTTCTCTGTCAGAATGTCTCATCATCTCGATATGTTCAGATGGCGTAACTTTTTCTATGTGTTATCGGTAAGCAATCATTTGTCGGCAAAGCATGGTTTCAAAATGGCAAAATCCTGGATGATTCCACCGAATTTTTAAATTACGGCATAAAGTTTCAATGTACCATGAGCTATCTTTAGACGCTACATGAACAATTTCTTGGTTTGGTTTTATCGGTATATGCGGACATATTTCTGGCCAAAGTATTCTTCCGTATCAACACCAAATCCAGGTAGCGTCTGCCCACCACATGCCCACACCAGCTGTTACCACTAAACATTAGCTTGCTTATTAATCAATCACGTGGTAGACTATTAGACCAACCGAAATCCACTTCAGTTAAAATTTTCTGATCCTATTCTATCCATCTATTTCTTAAAGACAGAATAGTCATTTTGGTCCCTCAACTATTACTTGAGGATCAGTTTAGTACCGAACTTTTAAAACGACCGTTTTAGTCCTCAAACTCTACTTTTAGACTCAATTTCATCCTAAAACTACGAAGATGATCGTTTTAGTTCTCAAGCTTTGCATTTTGGCCTCAATTTCATTTAAAAACTATCAAAGTGTATTTTGTGCTTTAAGCTTTTATTTTCAACTCAACTTTGTCTAAGTTCTACGTGGAAAGCTGCATTGTTGCACCTGGTTAGTTCCAACACCACCGACGATTGTAGATAGAAAAATAATATTCATCTAAAAACTCTTTCGTGGCCATTAATAATTCCAAGATATTATTTTTAGTGTTACCTTATAATGGTACCATTTATATATAAATGATATTTGTGGGAGTAATTACAGTTGCATCCAACACTATTTATTCTTGGATATATTGAAACAATAGCAGATCTATAATTTTGATAATTTATGGATGAAATTGTGTCTAAAATATAAAGTTTTCTTTTTGAATAGACAAAATTGAGTTGAAAATAAAAGTTAAATGCACTTTGATAGTTTATGGATGAAATTGAGCCCAAAATGCAAAATTTGAGGACTGAAATGATCATCTTCGTAGTTGTAAGATAAAATTGAGCCTAAACTAAAGTTTGAGGACCTAAATGGCCGTTTTAAAAGTTTAGAGACGAAATGAAGCCTCGAGTAATAGTTGAGGGACCAAAATGGCTATTGCTATTGTGCCTTTCTTAAATATCTAATATCAAAGAGTGAAAATTTCTTCTTCCGCCGCTTCTAGAAACTGAACTCAGGCCCATCCTCCTTCCTCCACATGTCAATAAATCTAATCAAATCCGATACGACAACCTCGCCCTTATACCATTTGTGTCCACCTAGACTTTGCATTCGTGCTCCTAAGAGTTAGAGCAACTCTTATCCAACAATAGTACGAACTACGATTTCAAGACATATTGTGTTTTGTTGCAACGCATGAGCATATTCCACTTTCGTACACCTATGGAGACTTTCACGGAACTTTAGTAGTACCGGCTAACGTCGGCTGAGATTCACTTCAAGACTTGGTTTGGATGCACTTACCTTAATCCATGTATATTGGAACGTACTGGGGTGGTTTCTACCCATCCACTTTAACACATATGGATTGATTGAACACGAATGCATCAAAATAAATCCATATTTAAAAATTTCCTATCATCATGTGTGATCAAATCTGCCCCCCCACCCTTATTAGGAATCTTACCAACACACAAAATACTTCCGAAAGTAGTGGTCTTTTGAAGACAAAACTTTAGTGATCACCAAAATCCAAAAGCAATCCCAGTAGCACATATAATGTTCCCTCTATTTCAAATTATAAGACGTTTTAGCTTCTTTTTTTTAAATTCATCGCTTTATCTATTCATCTAAACATATACTCCCTCCGTTCCAAATTAGAAGTCATTCCAAGTTTCTTGGAGCAAGGTTGACCAAAATTATAGGAAAATTACAAAGATTTATGACATCAAATAGGTATAATATAAAAATATAATTAATGAAGAATTTAATGATACTTATTTAGTATCATAAATGTTATTATTCTATTATATAGGTTTGATAAACTTGAAATATTTTGACTCTGCAAGAAACTTGGAATGGCTTATAATTTGAGTTAGAGGGAGTAGTTTATATCAAAAACTATATATATTTATAAAAGCGAAACCTCTTATAATTTGGAATAGAGAGAGTACTCTAACACATATATTTGGAGATATGGTTCTATAAGAATCCTAAAAGGAGACCAAATAAAGATCTTCCAAACGACAATTTTATACTGTAAACAAAACAGATTTGCACTCATATATTTTAAGCGGAACGCACGTTTTGTGCTGAAATGTGTCTTCTACGAGATTGCATCTCGTTGCACTATGATCCACCAGCTCTAGCCAAATTTGTTTGTTTTGATATCTTCTTTTGTTGACCGAGCTGGAGATTCGTTATACATGTCGAATTTAAAAATAGGAATCGTGGGACATTGGGACAGTATAAAATAAAATGCCTATGTCAAATTTACTCCGATCTGTATATATACCAGTATGAATAATGGCTAACCACGCTTGCCGCGTGATTGTGACTGAACTTGGACTAGCACTAGCTGATGCATTACGAACATCCTGTGCCTGGATTGGCCTGCCTGCCTGCCTTTGGGATTATTGAAGCTGATGACGTGCAGAGCGGGCTCAATAATGCTGACAGCGAGGTTTTTGCCCAATGGAGCATTCTATAATTCCATGATTTTTCAAACTTGACCTTATTATGGTCTACACATGCATACGACGAGATAGGACAATTGCATGATGCATGTGCACGCATAGCTCTTATCGATTATCATCGCTGTAGGAGTACGATTATATTAGTTAGTTTATTACAGACGCACCTGTCGTGTCCTGACAGGATGTCGTTATTATCAGATCATCTTTGCATATGCAAATAGAAGCTGTTGGGATTATTCTATCATTGCATCTTTCAATGAATATTTTTTTTCTTTCTGATCTTGGTGGTGTTTCATTTCGTAGATGAGTGCATGCTAGTAACGTGATGCTCGTGCCTGGGACAGGAACACGCTGATGCGTTCTGGTACGGTGTTTGGTTGTGCCTGCGATACAGCTGTGTGTCCCGATCAGAGATGGAAGAATCTGGTCACAGCCACACAGGAGGTGCACGTTTCATACGGAGTAGATTTGATGTTGTTCATCCCAGCCAGCTACTACTTATAAAGATTCCACATGCATGTGTGCGGCTGGTTTTGTTTTGGTTTGAAATCGCTGTCTGAGGCATTCAAGTTTGATGAAGACGACATGTGCGGGGGAAAATCACATTGCTGAATAGGAGAACGTATGGTTGGTCGCTAACCGCGAGGAATGAAAACGGAACGAAAATATTCTGATCCGAAGAAAACGGTACGAAAATATTCTGATCCGAACCAATTTTGACCCGATCAAATTCGTATTTTTGAATAAATTCAAATTCGATTCAAAATACAGAAAACCAAATTCGAAATCAGAACAAAATTGGTTTAGACTTTTTCCAACCGATTTCTACTTTTAGTTCAGAATATCCCTAATTCGAATTCGGTTTAATCCGAATTTAGTCCACTACGGTGCTTGGTTTAACCAAATTTGGCCCATTAGGATTTTCATTTAGGAATTCCAGTTTAGCCACAGCCCAGCCCAGTCAGGCATGGAACACAATGGATTTTTTATGAGTGCATCTCATTATATAGATCATTGCCTCCCTCACTCCCAGCTGTGTAATCGAGGTGGGACTAAAGAAGTGTGCCTGGCAGCAGCTGGCTCTCTTGCTGCGGTGCTGCTCATTGGGCTGGCGCTATGCAGTGGGCCGCTGCTCGTTGGGCTGCAGACCTGCAGTGGGCTCTCGTGCTGCTCCGCTGCTCTTGGCCTGCCGTTGCTAGTTTGGCTGCTCGTTAGAAATATTGGCTTCTTCTTTTCTCGTTTCAAAAAAAAAAGCTTTCGCTTTTGCCATTAATTAATATTTCGAGCAAAAATCTTGAATATACAAAGGAATATTTCTCCCTCCCTAATCACATGTACAATACTACAAAATCCCCATAGCAACGCGTGGGGCATTATCTAATCTTTATCGAGTATCATATATTTGTTATGCACTTGATCGTATGGATCAGTATTCCGTATTGATTTTTTTCGTTGTTGTAACATGGCCACCACGAGTGGCGGAGACCTGCGCAGTCCGCAGGATGCGGGGGCACCTCTGACCAGGAGGGCGAAGGCCGCCTCACCTCCAAACTAATTAAACAACGATCTTGCTTAATTGTGTGCACGTACTGAAGCGCGGGCGCCGGAGACCACATGAAGGCTGGCCAACTGCCTCTGCTGGCCAGGCGGAGACCTGATTGTTGACGCGTCTCCGACCGGACCGGCGGAGACCCATCAAGACGACGGCGCGCCCCTGAAGGTGGAGGCC